ACACTTGTGTATGGAAAAACTCGAAATTGAGCATGAATATCTTTTTTAGGCTATTTTTTTGTGTTGGACCTAATTAGAATATGTGGGTAAAATACACTTTTTAAACACATTGTAAAGGTATTTGAACATGAAAAAAAAAAAATCAAGCATTGAATTTATAAAAAACATTGTTTGTATTGGAGTCTCTGTGCGTTAGATGTGCCTTTAAGAGGCGGGGCCTTCTGAAATGGTGTGTGACATCAACAAGTCTGCAAGTGAGTGTCGAGGCGTGAGCTGTGGCTGACAGCAGCAACCACGTGAGTGAGTGCATTCGGTTTATTTGTTCAGTTGTCCACTATGGGTCTCCTTTCCCACACGTGAGGGCATTAGAGAAAGTAAATATACAGTAAAAACTTCTGCTTAAAACAGTGATTCTTAAAAGTGTAGTATGCAGGCTCCCTCTAGTGGTAAGAGAAGAATCACTGAATCCAATGTTCGACCAATGCATAACATAACGGTTATCTTCAACTTTTTATTCATCCTGTTCAGTGTACAGTATATACGTGAAGTAAAGCTCAGTTGTATTTAACTTGAAAGAACAATACATTTGCATTCATCTTTTATAACTGGTTTGTTTTAATATATTTCGGTACAATTTCAGATCATTAAGTGCAGCGTTAATGTTCAAAATCTGCATAGCGGCTGACGATAATATTGTTGTTTTATTATTTGTTTTATATTTATTATTATTTTTCGAAGAACACCTGAGAGATGTAAATGATGAAACATTATACCTTACATTGTGCGATTGAGTATATTGAACTCCTGAACGGCTATATCCGCATGAATAAGTAGTAATGGACATGTTCGGTTTACCTGTGATCCTGCTGATCTTGTGGTCGGTGAGGTACCCCGCAATCCCGGCCACGTGCGCCCCCAGACTGTAACCCAGCAGGTGGATCTTGTCCCAGGGAAGCTGCAGTTCTTTCTGAAGGGGTCACGACAGCAACAACCGACAAACAGACTACACTTAATATACTCGCACACTTACATGAGGATTAGAAACTAATAACTGGCATTAAGTACGAGGTCCGAAAGGCCCCGTGGCTACTTGTGTTTACAAGCTTTACTGTTGTTCGGAATGTAATTGGGGATTAAAGGAATTGAGTAGTCTGCCCAAAAAATATAAACTTCCACTAAGGAGTCATGCAAAAGTAAGGGGAGAAAAAAAAAATAAATTCCAGTCATTGCTGGAACATTTTTGAAAACGTATGTCACGCTTAACGAAAAAGTGATCCTTGTAAAAGAGGCTTGTAAATAGTCTTTAGAGGAAAATCACAAGATGCAGAACAACATTTTAAAGCACAGCGTCATTAACTAATAATTGGTCACATGAACATAATCTGTTGTAATACTTGGAATGTCAACGCTGGTCCATTATTGCGATATCTTACAAGTCTGCTCATCTTCAACCAGCATTAACGTGCTAAAGTTGTGCTAGCTGTGCTAAAAAGTGAATTAACAGCACTTTAGTTCTTTTAACGTTTGATAGATTTCTTGGTAATTGCCACATAATTAAAAAAAAAAAGGTACAATCCAGTTGTCTTCCATTGGTGAAATTTACTTTCAGTTGTGCTATTTAAGTCACATTGCCCCCACCCGATAATTCAAAGAAATGGTTTGTTTATTTTACAATACTGTCCGTGAACCTTGATGTAGCCTGCTAACATAAAAAAACAAGCACAAATATATACTCTCCACTGTGACTTTTGAAAAGTGCCTCTATTTATTTTCTTTTCTGCCATTTGAGTCACAATGGAAAGCATCCTTTCTGGAAAAAAAAAATATAGTAAAATGGTACATCAACCGTACTGAATGTTCTTCATTTCATTGTATTAGATTGATGGCCCACCAAGGCTTTTTCTAAATAGAAATATTTTCTCAAATTCTGACTTTACTCTTATGTTAGTCTAGTTTTTGTTTTTTGCTGGTAGGTCAATTATCTCATTGCGAGGTACAGTATGTAAGGTCCTTTTTAAACCAAAGGGTCCCAATTCAAAAAAATAAAAAACAAACCCCCACACTATACATTCATTAGGTGATTTCATGTTCATCCACGTTTTAATACACTGGTTATCTCACTTGTATCCAGGTAACAAATTTGGCCACGTCTCGGCCCGCCAACTTGGTGTAGGCTGCGGAGGTTGAGTAGTGCTGGTTAGCGCGCGTCAGCCAGTCCACCACGATCACGTTGGCGTTGGGTACGCGCTCGTACAGAGCCGACACCAGTTTGGGCACCCAGCTCTCAAACATGCCTGTTACCTACATCGTATCAACACACACACATGCAAGAGTGAGGTCAGCTGGCTAGTGGTTGGATTGATTTCCAAGTGGCAATATGCAATCATGTGTCATTTGGTTTACAATGAATTCCAGTTTAAAATGGGGGAACACCTCCCCAAAGGTAAGAATCTGCAGACAAACATTTTTTCCTGTAGCAGCACTTGTGAAGTAAATAAGGTGGTCCATATACGTGGCATAAATAGATCTTTTTGGCTCTACATTTCCTCACAACTGCAGTTGACTAGCAACCAGTCCAGGGTGCACTCCCTCGCTCACTCAAAGCCAGCTAGGATAGGCTCCAGCTCACCCATGACCCTAGTGAAGATAAATGCCGTAGAAAATGGATGGATTTCCTAACAAACCTCACCAAACAGCAATCCATCCAGTCAGGCGGCATTCCAAATAAAACCTCATTCCACATGTCGGGGGGGTAAAGAGGTGTTTTGTTGTGAATGTGCACGTACCGTCCAGCCATGGATGATGACAAATGTCTGCGTCTGCGCATTGAACTTGCACTCCTGGATGGTGTCGGGCCTCCCGGCCACAATGTAGCACATGTCATCATCTGGAATGTCGGCCGAGCGCAGGGAGAATTTGGACACGATGTCTGTGTAATCCGTGAGCCACTCGGTGGTGGTGACAGGCGGGGGGGGGGGGGACGCTGCCGTTCACTGTTGTAACACATGCAGACACACTAATATGAGAGGTCATAGGGGCACAAAAGACCTGCACAGTGTATGATTAATCAGGTCCAATCCTATTTTTTTTTTTTTTTAGTCATGCTTACATACTTTCTAGTTTTTTTTCTCTCTCTCTTGAAAAACACGACAAAAAACATCTATTGCCACTAAATATGTCTCCCTTGATCATCTTCATTTTTACATTTAGCTCGACATGGAGATACATAAAACAAAGACTATGTCGCCCCCTTTTGCATTTCAAGCACACCTCCTGCACAGAGCAGGTTTAAATAGACGAACTATAAAATTACGAAACTAAAGAGATGGATTTCTTTATTAACAAATTTGAACAAAAATCAACTAGATTCGGTAGTTTTTCGTAATTGTGTTCATTAAAGAATAGCAGTTTTAGTAGCTTTTAAGTGAAAACGGTTTATTCATTACTTAAAAACCATCCCTGTATTATTGTGAGATACCCTTTATAGGTTCCACGTAATCCTAATCTGTAAAAGGCAAAAGCATTATGTTGAGTGTGTGTGTGTGTGTGTGTGTGTGTGTGTGTGTGTGTGTGTGTGTGTGTGTGTGTGGTCGCGCGCGCATGCGTGTGGATGTTTTCCTTATGATGATCTTTTTTTTTTACATGAAGGGTTTCAGGGTCTTTACTAAATGCCCACATGGAGGTGACTGGTTGAGAGGCTTTGCAGAACTGCAGCCGTTTACTTTCTCAACATAATGGTGGCAAACATCAATTAAGCAACACATCAGATATTTAATTAATTATCTGGCTACAATATTACGTTTGGTGAAAAAGGAAATTAAAAGTACTGTGTTGATTTTGTCGCTCTTACCAAACACAGAGTTGGTGGTGAGTTCAGGGTCCGAACAAAAAATGGCAAAGATTTTCCCCAAAAGTATCCAAGCAGTGAAAAAACGTATGTTTTCTTTTCCCATATTATTGCAACGTTGGTCCTGTGAGGTGTCTTGAGTAGTTTCGAAGATGGCTATCCGACTTTTAAAATAGAAATGTCGTGGCGTAGTATACGCACGGAGTAAAGTTTCTTTAGGGTCTGCCACGGTTGGCGCTCCAAGTTATCTTAAAGAGTATCTTATTTGCATATTACAAGCTGATTGGATGTCGGTTTAGAGGCGGGGTTTCCCTCGGGTCTCCAAGAACGGTTGACCATTCACTCAGTTTGAAAAAACTGTTGGGTAGAGTACACTAAAATATTTATATATAGTATATTAAATATATAATGATCTTCTCTACCTCCACCCCTTCACACACACACACACACACACACACACACACACACACACACACACACACACACACACACAATCATGAGAGTTGTGCGCATGAAATATACAGTAAGCAGGTGCATTTCATTAAATTTCACAAAAGTTATTAATTTTTTTAATATATCGAGATACATATCGAATCATCTTTTATTGGCGACAGATATCTAAAAATGTATGCCACATTTACAGTACCGACAAGTTCATTCAAATGTATGTAAAATAATAACATTGCATCATACCCGCTCAAACTGAGTCCAAACCAATTGAATCATTCCACTTTCAAATCGAACCACACTTGAATCGTTTAACACACCAACGGTATTCAATCATCTTTTTTTGTGGAGATGCACACCCCTAATATATATACAGTACGTGTACACATAAAACAGTACTGTATAACGATTACCTGGCTTAGAGGTTTTCAGGATCTGGTCAAAATATTAGGTTTTAATATCATAAGCCTGCATTACTGTATTTGTAGTTCCTACAAAGCCGTGACACATACGATCATGTTAAATAAGTCATAAGGGGTCTTGATCTTGCATTTATCGTGAGTTCTTTAAGTTTATTAGATTAATTTTACATAAAACATAAATTCAGTACCAAAGTATAAAAGTGTTGCGAAAGAATGATCACGCAAAAAGTATCTTTCAAAATATAACAAGTGCTTAAAAACCGTTTTCCTTACAGCATGGCCTTGATTCGATTTGATATGAATCATGTGGATTAATAAAGGCAGCAGGGACCTCTGGTGTTAAAACCACACAGTGCAGTGATGAGGAAGCAACAACACAACACAGATGCTCATTACATCATGTTAGATGAAAAGTCTGTTTGCACACAGCAGCGACGTCATCAAAAGCGATGAACACCGATGTGCGGGATAGGACGAGGTGCTCGAACGAGACCATGTGTCGGACTTTTATGATCCATTTCATGCCTTTGTGGGAACCGCCATTCATCTTATCATCTGTTCTTTTCCCATAATATTAGTTGATGTTCTCAGTTGTCACTTCTTGCCGTGCTGCAGAGGATGGAATGACCATGTTTTGGCAACAATTGAGCAAATGTTTATTATCATAAACCATCGACTGCTCAAAGTTTTGCGCTGCAGCGCGGTGAATAGTGGTTTGCACATCTTGCTTAGCAGTTTGAATCTTGGCTCTGGCTTTGTTGTTTAGGATGTGTTGTGTGTGTTTTATGAGTTTCTGTCCACATTGTACATTAGGTTAATTGCAGACTTGCTTGCCGTGCCGCAGAGGATGGAATGATCATGTTTTGGCAACAATTGAGCAAATGTTTATTATCATAAAACCATGACGGCTCAAAGTTTTGCGGCTGCAGTGCGGTGGATAGTGGTTTTAGCAGTTTGAATCTTGGCTCTGGCTTTGTTGTTTAGGATGTGTTGTGTGTGTTTTATGAGTTTCTGTCCACATTGTACATTAGGTTAATTGCAGACTTGAAGGTATCCGTAGCTGTGAACGTGAGTGGGGATGGGTATACAACGTTGATGATTGAACAAACTTGTCTTTTTTTTGGGGGGGGGCGTGGTTAATGTTTCTTGAAAAGTGCCCAATGCACTTGTGAATGCTTGTTTGAGCCCACCAAGACGAGTCTAGGCTGTCTCTCTCACTCTAAGTCAACGGGGACAAGCTCCAGAGGACAAGCGAGATCGAAAATGCGGTGGGTGGTTTGCGTTATTTTTTTTTTCCTTTCCAGTTTTCTGAGATTTGTTTTTATGATTGCATGGTGGGCAGGATCAAGTCAAGGGGGACAAGCTTCAGAGGACAAGGGAGATCGAAAATGCAGTGGGTGGTTTGCGTTATTTTTTTTTTTTTTTCCTTTCCAGGTTTTTGAGATTTGTTTTTATGATTGCATGGTGGGCAGGATCAAATGCTGTCCAGGGCCATACTTGGCCCACAGGCCGCAGGTTAAAAGCATATAGTGAAACCATTTGTTTCCGCAGTAATCAACGAGCCAATATTCTAAAAAAAAGTTACCAGGCTTTTTCATCATACATGTAGGTCTATATTTATACGTACATATGAGTATTTGATGTCTCGCTGTGTTTTGGGAGTCCGCTTGTTTGCATCCAGAGCCCAACCCAATGATTAGAGAGAAGAACTACACCCTCAGTCTGTACCTCCACATTCCCCACTCACCTCAGAGAGCAAGCTGACGACGTGCAGTGCGACCACAGACAAATGAAATGTTAAAAGTAGAAAGGGGTTCTTTCAAGAGGATGTCCCCTTTGAAATACTTGGAAATGCTCGATTTGAGTGACAGGATGAAACCATCCTGGGGTATGTTTTCTAGTGACTTTTTTTTTTTTTAATCTAGTGCAGTACATTTGCTAAGTGCAGTTCAGTTGTTTACCGATGAAGTAGTGCGTTTAAATACATTTTATTAAATTATCCTGAATTTAAGTTGGGTGACCCCGGTGGTTGACTGGTTAGCTTGTCGGACTCACAGTGCAGAGGTGCAGAGTTCGAGTCCCTATGAAGTAGTGCGTTTAAATACATTTGTTAAATTTTCTTGAATTTAAGTTGGGTGGCCGGGTGGGTGACTGGTTAGCGTGTCGGACTCACAGTGCAGAGGTGCAGAGTTCGAGTCTGGCTCCGGCCTTCCTGGGTGGAGTTTGCATGTTCCCTCCCCGTGGCTGCGTAGGTTTTCTCCGGGTACTCCGGTTTCCTGCCACATTTGGCTCCGGCCTTCCTGGGTGGAGTTTGCATCTTCCCCCCCGTGGCTGCGTAGGTTTTTCTTCGGGTACTCCGGTTTCCTGCCACATTCCAAAAACATGCATGACAGGTTAATAGAACACTTCAAATTGTCTCGAGGTGTGAGTGTGAAGGCAAATGGCTGTTTGTCTAAGTGTGCCTGTGACTGGCTGATGAGGATCAGGATACACTGGATTCGAAAACGCATCGTTTGTTGTTGGATGAATTATTTTGGACAGCACTTTGCATGCGCCGAGTCGTTGTTTTCAAGTGCTCTATAAATACAGTCGAGCTGAGGTGGGTTGAGACTCAGCTCATCAGCAAGCTCTGCGGGGGGGTGGGGGGCCTGATAACAATCCTGATCACTTGAATCGGGTGTGTTGGAGGAGGGAAACATCTAAAACATGCAGGATTGTGACCTTATTTAAATACTCGCTAGGCATGTTTCTGTAGCATTTCAGGCACTTGATTTTTAAAGGTCTTTAAACAAACTTTAAAAATATGACAAACACATTTAAAACATAGTATATATATATTGGGAGAGCGCTCGAGCAATAGATAAGTCAAAAATAATATATAGAGTGTTTCAATGCACTGATCCCTCTCTTTGCTTACAGTCAACAAAGGCGTATATTGGGAGAGCGCTAGAGCAATGGATAAGCCAAAAATAATATACAGGCAGTGTTTCAATACACTGATCCCTCTCTTTGCTTACAGTCAACAAAGGCAGTCCCCCCCCCTCACCCCCTATTTTAGTCACATTTTGGGCCTACTATGCAACTGCATTTTATTGTTGGTCATGATAGTGGACCTTGGTTTCAAAATTTGAGAAGTGCTGTTCTTGAGAGCAAATGTTACCAAATATGGCTCCATTCCCAATGTCTGCAATCTCTGTCAACACTTATCAAATGAAACAGTTAAGCCAAATGTTTCCCAAGGTTTATTGAGCCAAGTTGCATATTTAACATTACAAAAACGTCTGGCCATGACATCGGACAAAAGAAAAAAAATGTCACAAATGCAGTGTGTTTGTCGATATGTAGCCCACAAAAGTCATCTGGCATCTTCTTCAGCACCCTAATGATGACCTGCATGATCGAAAATAAATGATAAAAAGTGGCGGTTGAAATAAAACAAAAAAGGACCAGAATGGAGCAATGCAGAATATAAACACGGACCATCACATGAAAGTAATAAGACAGCATCTCTTCATAACGTGAGTCCACACGCCACACTTTATCCAAGAGAATGCTTGCATGCTTTGGCGGGTGCTACTGTTTTGTTTAGCGATGGCATTTGAATGGGCTCAGTTACCTCCGCAGGATGCAGGCCCTGAATTGGGAGCCACCCAGCTCAGGGGGTCTTAGGACTTGGCCCATAGAAATAGTCACATCAATGTAGAGAGAAAATATGTGTTATTGCGGGAGGATTTCCTTTTATTTCCCTTTGACCGTTCATCGGGTGCATCCACATTTGTTTCATATTCCCGGATTTGCAATAATCACGCGATGATTCATCCTTGCAGCCATTTAGCGTTCGTCCTCATTGGTATTGCAGGTGAGCTAGAGCCTGGCAGACATTTTGGGGGAACTTGTCTACTTGAGGATCTGGGAAGTTTTATTGTTTTTTTTTTGTTTTTTTTTTTAATTCACAATCTAATTACTTACTGTAATGCCCTCATACATGACAAAGTGGAGCGATAGTTGCCAATGCCATTTTCAGACATTTATTGAATGGCAAGAGAAATGTAAAACAGAGCATACTCATATGTAGGAGCTGCTGTCGGCCACAGCTCACACCCCAGGCCCTCACACATAGACTCGCCATTGTCACATCCCTCCACAGAAGAGCTCTTTAAGGCACATATCAAATACACAGACACTCCGGTCAGTACAGCATTCGCTTTACGTGTCACTTTTTTGTGTGTGTGTGTGTCTGTTCAAATA